CCTCTTTGGTCAAATTAAAATAAGTAAAGTTAAAATATTCTTTAAATAAATATACTTTATTAAAAATGATTTATTTTAATTTTATTTATTTATTTTAATTTGACCAGAGAGAGACATAGAAAGAGAGAAAGGAAAAGTGTGAAAGCAAGCCACCAGGTCCAGGACTTGAACCATGGTCAGCCATGTGATAGTGTCCAGCACCTTAACCACCATGCCACCTTATGACCCCATACCTCTCATATTTTAATGATATCAAGTAATATTTATTGAGCACTTACTATGTACCAGGCACTTGTACAAGGCTTGACATTAATGTAAGAAATAACAGGCCTCGCCTGGTAGTGTACCCAGTAGCAAACTGAACTGCAGTGCTGGAGGCCACATGGGCAACCAGAGGCTCAGATCCTTGGGTTGTCCTGAAAGCATGTCAGGTACATGCCTGTGTGCCCAAGATCCAAAGGAACTGGAGGGCTAGAGGAGGGGGACTGCAGCATGATGAGATCCCATTGAGGGTACCCCACTCTTGTGCATACATATGCTCTATCATGAATAAAAAATAAAACTTTTTTAAAAAAAGAATGAGACCAGCAGGTGGCAAGATGGTTTCTTTACTGGACTCTCACGTGGTCAACCATGGTGTGAACCTTGGACCTGGTGGCTTAAAACTCACACTGGGGGCGTGTGCATGCATGCCCAAAATCCCAAGAGGAGAATGGAGAAGAAGGAATTGTGATGTGGCTATTCCCCAGGGGGGCGATTTTTCACTTTCTCTCTCTCTGGCGAGTGCATGTGCCCTATAGCAAAAATCTCTCTTAAAAAAACAAAACAAAAAAAAAAACAAAAAAACAGAAGAAGAATACTGGAGGCTTGGTAGTACTACAGCGGTAAAACAGCTGGACTCTGATGGGAAAGGTTCTGGGATCATGTCCTGAGACCTCACTGAGAATGCTGGAAGCATGTGCCCATGACCCAGGATAGTTGAGGCTGGGGGGTGAATTGGAGTATGAAGATCCTGTTGGGGGTCACTGTCTCTCTATCTCCCTCTTTCTTTGTTCTGCCTCTCTTATGGAAAGAAAGAAAAACTTTAAAAAAGAAATAATACTAGCTAACATTTTCACAGTGCTAAGTGCCAAGAACTGTTCTAAGCCATTTGCGAACATTAACTTTGAACATTCCATCAATTCTATCAGATAGGGACTACTATCATTGCCACTCTGTATGAGGAAACAGACGCAGTCACAATAAGATCCTACCACAGCTAGTGAGTGAAAGGACCGACATTTGAGGCCCAGGCCCAAAGCTGGAGAGCCCAAATTCCTAGTCTCATATTCATGCTAGTCCTCCTCCCATAAATAGTAAAGACTACCATTACCATTCTCATTTTACAGACCATGACAAAAAGATGTGGAACAAATAGTATATGACCAAGATTCTTTTTTTTTTTTAATTGCCAGAGGGTATATGCACTTGCTAGAGAAAGGGAGATACTGAAATCACCACCTAATGGGGTATGCTCACATCACAATCCTTTCTCTACCATTTTTCCATCCTGTTAGGATTTGGGACACACATGCCCACCCGGTTTTTCAAGCCACCAGGACCAAGATTTGAACCACTGTTGGCCATGTGGGATCCAATTACCCAACGCATAGGGCTTAACCACTGTGCTACAGGTCAGCTTAGTAAGTGACCAAGATTCTACATCCAGGAAACTACAGGGCTGGGATCTGAACCTCATTTACCTTACTCAATCCAGAGCTCAGATATATTTTAGAAAAGTTATTTGGGGAACAGGTATGCCATGGGTATTAGTCTGCCTCTTCTCTCTTTCAAACTCTGTTAAATGAAAGAAACCATATTTTATTTGTTTAAGCCACTGTAATTTGCAGGCAAACACCATCACTAAGCATTACTTCATGGAGTCCACCACACTTTCTCCCACAGAGCTGAGAGGGAAGCAAACCTTGGACCACAGTTGGATGTCACTGCCTCTCCTTGAATGTCACTGTCTCTCCCTGAATGTTATACTGAAACCTAAAGGAGTTGAAAGGGAGGCCTGAGATCCACTCTCCATCCAAGTGAATAGCATTTCTATCTGTTCAGTTGCTTAAGCCAGAAACCCAAGAGACATGCTTGCCCTTCCTACTCTCTCACTCCCTGGGTCCAAACTACTGCCAAGCCCTGTGGCTTCTGTATGTCAATTGTACTTCAATTCCACCTCTTTTCTCCACACTGTCCCTCTGTATGAACCACCATATCTCTCACCTGAAACTGCCCCCTGACCAGTCTCTGCTTGCTCTTCGTCCCTCTCTAATCTCTCCTAATAGCTGCCAGAGTGGTCTTTCTAAAACATTAAAACACTTATTAGGGCCCGCAGGTGGTACAGAGGTTAAGGCAGCTAAATCCTTCATGGTCAATTCTGCAGTTCAAGTCCCAGACCTGGTGGCTTGAAAATCATATTGGGCATGTGTGCATGCATGCCCCAAATCTGAAGAGGACAATGGAAAAGGGATTGTGGTGTGGCCATTCCCTCTGGTGAGCACACATACCTTATAGCGAAACTAAAAACCAAAATAAAAAAGCCCATTTATTAAAAAGTAAAATGAAAAAGGTCACACTATTGAAATCAAACTAATAGTCTAAAAGACCTAATAGAAGAACCATTTCAAAGCAGAGCTAAGGCTTGATGATTTAAGTGAAAAAGTAGAGAGACTTGGAGGTAGGTCTCTTTTCTAGGCCTTTTTCCAGGCTCTACAGATCTGGAAGCAAGAAGATGGTGGCTCACAGCACCTACGGAGGACTGGGAAGGTTGAGATCCAAGGGTCCCACACCCAGTCAGGATAGTACAGACGTGGTGGGCCAGAGAAGGACTTTCTGACCATCAGAGTATGTCTAACTCATGAACCCTATTGGAAGAAAACAAATTGTCTAAGCAAATGACTACTGAATGACTACAAGAGCTCAAGGTAAGAGAAGGCAAAAGGGAAGGTAAATGGTGGTGGGCCACAGTTTGCTTTTTCAGTCTATTTATTTATTGGGTTATTGGAAAAGTCATGACGCATTTTTTCACAGAAAAATACGTCATGACTTTTCTGATGACTGATTATTTCTTTTCCGAGAGAGAAAGAGAAACAGCACTCCCAAGAGTGTCCTCATGCCATGATCTACCCACGGTCTTAGCCAGCCTGGATCATGGGCACATGCACACTCAACGTGCTCAAGGAGGGCCTGGGATGCGAAACCAGGACACTTCCTGTGTGTGGGTCTAGTTCTGTTACCACTGCTACCACCTGGCCCTACAGTTTTTAGTAGATTAGTTAAAATAAACATAAAATAACAAAGACAATATGATTTGTAATATTGTATGTTTGTAATGTTATATGTTGTATTAAGATTTTGGAAACATAAGCAACTTAGTGTGTTAGTAAGAAAATATAATGATAGCCTGGAATTTAAACAGGAAAACAATTAAAGCTGTCTAAGCAAAACCCAAATGTTAAGGAAGAATAAGAATTAGAAGTGTTCTGACTCCCCAATTCAAGGGCCAGGAAACAAGGGAAAGACTAAAAGAGTAAAAGTATTCTAAATATTTCACTATCAATTGTGTAAAAAAAAACAAAACCAAAAACACATAAATCTGGCTTTTTTTTTTTTTTTTAATGAGAGAGGCCTAAAACTAGGTGATCAAGAAAGGTTGAGGGTTAGGGTTAGGGTTAGGGTTAGGGTTAGGGTTAGGGTTAGGGTCAGGGTCAGGGTCAGGGGGC